GATTACTCCAATGGAGGGCCCCCTTAGAGTTCAATATGAGGGGGGCCCATGGAAGCACTTAGTGTAAAAATGCATACAGCAGAACCACGACAATGCATCTGTGGGGCGCCCGCATGTCCTGGGGGCCCCCAGTGTATCCTGAAGACCCCCATATGGTCACCACACCAGACTCACTTTTCCTTTGATGTTTTGCTGCCGTATGATGTCGCTAAGTGCCATGAAAGGAAGCTTTCTCGTGCTCCCAGGGCCCCCAGGGCCCCCGGAGGCCCCAGGGGCCCCCGAATCGGTGGGAGGGGGGGGGCCCTGCCGGGCCGTCAACACCGGGGAGTTCCCATGAGGCCTCTCCTGAAATCCTGGGGATGTCTCTACCGCCCCCGGCGAGCCCATGTGGGCCCCCCTGCGGGCCCCAGGGCCCATCACCAACACCGTGCGTCTCGCGCCGTCCCTCAATGCTACATCGCGTCCGCGGGGCCTCTCCTCTTCCCAGGTGCCCCCAGAGGCCTCAGAGAGGCCTCCCCTGTTGTATCTCCTGCTCATATTGGTGCTTAACGCCGCCACCGTCCGCGGGGCCCCAGAGAGGGGCCCTCCCTTCTCCTTACTAGACCCCTAGGCGGCCCTGCAGGACTTCTCAGCAGCTACAGGGGCCCCAGGGTGCCTTTCAGTGCAGAATGAAGAGAGAAAAAATCCGACGCGAACGACTCGCGGCCCCACAACAACCGACCGCAAACACAACGGCAAGAGGCTGCTGAAGCAGCGGCTGCTGCACCGAGGTGTTTGTGCAGCAAGAAGGGATGGGTACCGGGGAACCCTGAAGAGCCCAACATGCAAAAACAAGAACAACAGGAACGCAAAACAATATGGACACAGGTGCGGGAGCCAAACAAACCGGAGCTGCAAAACAACGGCAACACCAACAGCAGCAGAAGCAGCAGCCGCTGCTGCTGCTGCGGCTGTCTGACGGAAGCCCCAACGGGCAGCCCTAATCCAACGACAGTTAGTAACAGGAGGCTACAAAGTTTTCGAATTTAATAATAAAATTTATTATATGGGAAACTTATAAAGCATTTGACGCCTTAAACGACATCAGTAAGAACTGTCTCAGCTGCAGCAGCTATTGCTGCTGCTGCAGCGCCACTGGCCACTGCAACAGCAGCTGCAGCAGCTGCTGCAGCTGCTGCATTTGCTGTTCTTGATCTGTTCGTTTCCCGGGCTGTGTGCCTTTTGTGGGGGTTTATCCCTTGCTGCGGCTGAAATTTTGTAGTTGTCTTCTGCTTGTCAATTTATAGTATACTTTAGCGTTATTATCAGTTTCTGCAGTTGGCTCCATCCATCAGATATATATTTATTGAAGTGAGTCAAGGCTCATTGTAGAAGCCAAGTAAACGTATTGTTTATAAGTAGATTTTTGGGGTAGTAACCCAGCCATATGTTCCAGTTTTGTTAGATTGACTTCGCCCCCGTTGCCAGTTCCTTTTTGCTCGCGCCGTGTTGTATGTAGTGCATGTAAATAACTTTTTGTACGCCGAATGCCGCATGCGAAGTGACTATTTGCATGATTTAAGTCAAAGAACAAGGGCCTGAGTTGACTTCTGAAATGTTTCCAGCATTAGAATGGTGCACTACTTGGCAGCAGAATATACATATGCTGAAAGGGGAGTACTGTCAAGTTTTATTCTGAATTCGCCATTTGTTTTCTGAAATTCTGTTTAAAAAAAGTGTTTGAAAAAACCAGTGGAAATATTTGATATTAAATGTAGGTGCTACATTACAGAATCCTGGTAGGATCTTTAAAGCAACCGCAATATATGAAACATTCAATCCCAAGCCAGCGCTTGGTGACGAAAAGATCAGTACGAGATTAACAAATAAGAAACCCCGGCTGCATAAGATGTCGCAGCAAATTCTTCTGTTTCTAGCTCACCCCAGCAGTAGCAACATTTGCATCGAAAGTCGTATTACGAGGTACCGCACACGACGAGGCAGCACGGCGCTATGCACGTATGCAAATACTATGAAAATACATGCAGTTTCCTTGCAGATAAGAACGAAGGTCCCCACTTCTGGGCAGTATGCAGTTTTCTTTCTCAGTGAATCCGCACTGCGTACAATCTCTCTGCATCCTGCAAGAATTTCATTGCATTGCAGCAAGCTTCCACTTCGGGGGGCCGTGAACGAAGAGCACCAGACGCTTTGCCTCGGGCTGGTACTCTAACCTTGGGATACTCAGGCCTGGATCTGTAGCTGAAGGCTGCTGCTGCAAAACACTTGTTTCTGTTTTGGGTACGCGGATTGTCCCAATCCCCGCGTCTCTCATGCATCTTCATACTGATGCCACCTTTGCACTCGTGCGCATTGATGGGGATATGGAAGTGTTTGTGAGTTTCCCAGGCAGGAAGCTCGAAGCCAAGGCAGTCCAAAGGAAATTCCAGCTTATTTTCCGTGCCGGGGGCACGTGCGGACAGCTCTGGCAGTTGTACCTCTCGTTCGACTGAGACGATCGGGCAACGTTGGGAATGAAGGCCTCCCTACCGAAAGTGAAAGGTAACTGCGTGATATGAGGAGGCATGGAAAAAACGTGTGTCGGACGGCCCTTTCTTTGCACCTATCGGAAGAGAAGAGAGAGGCAGTGAGCGCAGGCTTAGCGCCATCAAGTTATGCAACGCGCGGTTTGCGGGTGAGTACTATATATAGAGGGTTCTTACGAGGAAAAGGTATTAAGCTACCTATTGCGCCATTCGGACGGTTAACAACTGGGTCCGGAAGATAAAATTCACAATGATAGGACCGCCAAACTTCTAGGCGGCTCTTGGGAGAGTGAATCCAACGAAGATAGCGGGAAAGTGGCAGTGCATTTGCAAACGAATGCATTATGATGGCGGTATGCACTGTGTGCAGCATAGAAACAGATTCTGGCATTTGTACTTACGCCGGATGTTCCTTATGCTGCCCAACACAGAAATTCATGTCGCGTTTATATCGGCCACCAACTCCCCAACCCAAAACGAAACGACTCGGAGTTCGCATTAGTTGCCTTCTCTCAAGCCACGCGAAGAAAAACAAAAAGTGTATTTTGCAAAGTTCGCCGCGTGCAGAGGGTGTGGATTTACTTCACCTGTACTTGTTGATGGTCACACCCAGCAGTTGAAATTTTCACACATTGAGCGACCTAAATTCGAGGCCTATTGGCCAGCTTTGAATTTCGGCTAAGGCCGATCACGATATATTCCTCATCATGCATCTATGTGTTAATGCGCGCGTGCATTAGCCACCGTTTGTCTCTAACTAATGCGTTTATTCTACATCTCTGTCTGTCTGCGGCTCCATACGTATTTGTACGCTCCTTCTACATTTCTGCCGAATGCATTCATTTGCCTGGTGTCTCGTTCCTTCCGTACCTATCTATCCCATACCACCGGTTCCTGCTCGTCTGTCTTCGTGCTGTTTTCTGCCGCTGCAGCTGTTCCATTTGCAGCTCCCTCTCTCGCTTTCACTGCCTGCCTGTAACTACTTCCGTTTTTTTGGAATGTATCAAACGCCGTTAATGCAGTAAAATGAGTTAGGAAAAAAAAGGGGAAGGGAGGGAGTGGAGGTCTCCGGGGCGGAGGGAGGTATGCGCAGAGCTCGTCTGCCAGCAAGTATCTTCTGTACACCAGATGAGACTGCCCTCCTTGCCTCACCCCGTAGAGCGTGGATGCACTTAGAAGTAATAAATGGAAGATAATGAGCTTAAGTCCGCAATGGAACAGCTGGGGGTTTGCAAATGAACAAAACCCTCGCCACAAATCTAGATCGACACAAACGATATGCTTGTCCTCGTGCTTTCGTCTTATGGCGCACGCAGAGGTCGTTCACGTGTGCGTACGCTTCCTGTTCCCCCAAGGCATAGACAAGCTCCTGCAACCGTTGCTTGTCATGTTGTCTTCGCTGCAGCAGATGCAGCAGTATCCTGCGGCTACATCCACGCGCTGGCACTTGCTGTGAGACCGTCTTGATGAGCCCCCATGGACACTTCGAGGTTATCTTGTGCATATGCTTCAAAGGCATTTCTTCTCAGCATTCGTCTTCGTAGGATGACGCAACTGACGACGGTTACCACCAAAANGCTTCAAAGGCATTTCTTCTCAGCATTCGTCTTCGTAGGATGACGCAACTGACGACGGTTACCACCAAAATGACTCCCACTACGGCCGCGCCTATGATAAAGAGTGTGAGGTCTTGTGTCGAGGCAACGCACTTGGGCAGACCATCAACCGTATCCAGTGTGTAGTTATTGTTGCATACGCAAGTGTACGTCGAAATTCCTGCCTGGCAGCTCTTTGTCGCTGCAGAATCACCACAGGGCTCATCTTCGCAGGGTGAATATATGCACTGTTTCTTCCGGTTCTCGGTAACCAGTCGGTAGAAAGTCTTGCACACACACTCTGGCCCGCTCGGGGTGTCTGTGCAGCTGAGGAGGCCTTCTGTCCCGCAGGGCTCATCTTCACACTTGACGGTGGTGTTGGATTCAACACAAGTTTTCTTTCCGTCGACGGTGGCTTCCTCATAACCCGGCCTACAAATACAAGTGTATTCTGAGGTGCTTTCGGTCCTGCATTCTAACACTGCCTCTGCTTCACCACAGGGGTCGTCCGTGCAGAGGCTCTGCAGGACACATGCGGGACTTAGAAGGTCTGTATCATCCCATGTATATCCTCTGGGGCAGAGACAGTACGCAGTACCGTCGGGCCTCCCCTTGCAGGTGCCTGGAGAGCATTTATTTTTGACGGAGTCTGCACAGGGGTCTGGGTGACAAACGAGTCCGTCTCCTACGTACCCGTCTTTACACCGGCAGTACACTCCGCCGTATTGGCTAGTGTCTCGTTCGTCACACACCGTATTTGTCGGGCACTTGTGTCCATGCAGCTTGCATGTGCACTGCGATGGGCCCATGACGCTCCATCCTCTCGTTGTGCAAGACGACCGACATCGAAGGTCACCCATGACATCTCCGCAACAACTTCCAGGAGGGCAATATATGGGAANCAAGACGACCGACATCGAAGGTCACCCATGACATCTCCGCAACAACTTCCAGGAGGGCAATATATGGGAACGGGCCATCCTTCATAATCTGAGTTCGGATAAATAGCGAGAGCGTCCCAGCAGGGAACATCTAAGGCGCCAAAACGGCATAAGTAATTCCTGTATACATTATTCTCAGGCAATGTCCAGCCATCTGTTATGCGCCATGTTAATTCAGGAGTGTCCTCTTTTTTTATTTGCGCTATGCGTTCTTCATCAGCCGAATTCTCAAAAGAACTTTCGGTGTCACCCGTGCTGCTGCTTCTGATGCTGTTGGCGGCCCTTATGCTAGTTCCTTCAAGGGTACCACTACTAAGGGCGCTGCTGCTGCCGCTCTTGCTCGCTGCAGTAGCATGTATCGAGGCCTCAACGAAAGACCCACGCGAGTCGGCAGCGCCGAAGACGCTGAAACGGAGAAGGCCGAGGCAGACAAAACAATATATGCTGTTGCAAACTATCATTGATCTCATTTTTGT